TAGTCACTTATAAAATATGTTGGTAAAGCAGTAATATTGAAAAAACATAGTAAGAAATGCTATGTTAACTGCTGTAGAAGTTCTGTATTTCTTAGTAGCCGCTTATAGTTGAATAACACATGAGGATGAAAAAACACTCATCAAATAAATTTTAAAAGCTATTTTAGTGTGCATATTATGTTCTGTACGCTTGTCTATTTAATGCTGCAAGCCAATTGTTCTAAGATTGCTTTGTTTTAGAGATCTTTACTATTAACATATCAAAAATTAGTACCTATCGAAAAAATCCGTTTTTCACCATGTTCCAGTGATTCCAAAGCAAAAATATAATCTGATTAGACCCATCGTGGGTCAAGCTACACATTGCATATTAGATCTTGTCATACCAAAGAAGTGCAGTTTTTGATTGAAATTCGGCAAGGGCTTTCGACAAGCATTAATGTATGAAAATGTAATTTACTCTTACATGATTGCCAATAATCTCTTGCATCGGGTTTAACTGCGTGGGAACAGATTATTAATCTTAAAAATACGATTTCATTGTCTTTTTTAAAGAGATCCGCTAATATGTGCTGCGTCAGCCTTGCCTTCTTTCTATTAAATGTAACGGTTTCGAAAGAAGATTCTTTACGCATATATCATGTAGTGATAAAGTATATTTGTACTTCAAAAAGATTTTCAGGAGAACAATAGTATGTTTTTCTTTCTCTTTTCTTTGTTCTCTTCTTTCTCTCTCGTTCTTTTGATGCCAGAACCAGATTTAAAATTCTAGGAGAGGCGCCGGAGCCGGACAGAAAAGTTTGAAGCAGAAGCCGGGAGGGATCGGAGTTACCCAGCTCTGTCTCTCATGTATGAGATAACAATGACGAACGCTCATTCTCATGAGACAACGCCTCAGAATCATACAGAACCACTCAAAACGTACGTTTAAGGAAAATTCTGTCGTTCTTAAACTTTCGTTTGAGTTTTTGTTTAACTAAGAACGGTCTCCACTACGCATTATTATCAAAAACAAATGTCACAAAAAATTTCAACATCAGTAAATGATTATCAACAGGTATTTACTCGGATAAAACATTTGCTCTAAAATGAATTTTTTCAAAATATCACTAGGTAATCAGATGGATGAATAAAAATCAATACGACGTTTTGGTGTTAACGTTGGTATTGAAACTTTGGATTGGAAAAACAAATGACAGGACGATTTTCAAATTTTCCTATAAATGTTCGGTTTTTAACAGCATAAATAAGAACAAAATCAGAATGGGCCTACACAAATACTTTACCTTCTTGCTTTTTTGCTTATTCAGCTCCACTGTTGCTATTGTTATTATCGTGAGATTTTCGTTTGTAACATTTCATAGAACTCAACTCCAAATCGAATTACAGAACATTGATCCGATCGGAACTTTTGATCTAGCCCCGACGAAAAGTTTTCCGTTAACCACTTCATTTTTAAAAATGTAGCTTGAAGATTATCGAAAAAATCCATCTTTCAGCAAATGTCATCGTCTAACAATTTCTTTACTGTTGTATTCATTGGTAATTAGAAAATTGGTATAGAAGCACTATAAACATCAGAAGTATCATCTATCTACTAAGGAAGAGAAAGAGACAAAAAGTTGTTCCCATTGAATATTACCATGTCTAATAGTACAGAAGACGATGGAAAGTCTTCCATATTTTATTTTTATTTTTCATTTACTGTGATACAGTTTCCATTCAAAACTTATAATTTTAGTAAACTACGTTCGTTTTTATGAACAGATCAATATCTTGACCTAAACGGACAATTTCTTTTTTCAACGAACTAAATGTCAGGTTTTTCGTTATATCACGTTCTAAGAAGATTTCTTCCATGATACTCTTGGACGGTTGAGAATCACTTGTCTTGTCAAATCAAATCAAACCACTTATTTTGAGACTAAAACGGAAGTTATTATGGACCGACCGCTACAATCACTCGTATTAAAATTGAACTGAACAAGCATTCTTTTTTAATCAAATCAATCAATTTGATTAAAAAGAATGCTATATGCAATATATATAAATGTGACTCTTATTCTTCTGAGTTAAAACAAAAATTATTTCGATTAAAGTTATCTTCTCATCTATTTTCTACAATGTCGACAAAAACTCATTCCTCTTCTAAAAAGTACAATCCTCCAACACCTGTCCGTCGAGTGAACCGATTACCAATGCATGATCGTACTAATTGTCAAGTAACATTGAAAAATATAGTAAGTACATATTTCAATACTACTCGTTGTACTCTTCTGTTAGATGGCGGATGCGATAGATTGAAGTGATTAGCACTCAGATGTACGAAATGATTACGAGCCTTTTTCAAATGCCAGAATGTTATCTACTACAGATGATGAGAAGAGATAAACGATGGAGATTGCATTTTCATCTAGAAGAGCATTTGGAATAATAATTATTTCCTTCTAGATTCCTAGTGTCCACGACCGTTTACATGTGTTAATTGAAAAAATTAAAGATTCAAAAAATTCATCTATCCAATTATTACTTCAGTTGTACAATCGCAAACGTTCGTTAATGGAAATAGCTCGTCGAAATGAACCAACAAATCAACTGTACCATTGCGTACAAATGGAGTTATTTCAACAGCAAATATTCGATAGTTTATCAAAAATTGTTCCCGATATGATTTCAGAGGAACAATCATACAAAAATCTACAGCTATCAAACTGTTTAATTAATGGAAATACTGTTGTTTATCCCCAAAAATTATCTCCAATTCGAACACGTAGTGCTAAAATTGTGTCATTGAAAAAATCGTGAATGAATGATGTTTTGTGTACATGATTGTGAATATTCATCCGATGATATTTTTAGTATCTTTTAGTTTTCGAATAAAAATGCAGTATAAATATATGTATGAAACATTATTGAATCACTGGAAGGTAAACACAAACAAAGTTTAAGGACCACAACAAACAATGAGTTTCTAATGTTCTAAGCAATGTTTTTGTATAAAAGCTTTGAAAATCAGTTGATCATA